AAGCCCCTCAATGGGATAGACCGACGCGGGCTGCAAGCCCCTCAATGGGATGGACCGACGCGGGCTGCAAGCCCCTCAATGGGATGGACCGACGCGGGCTGCAAGCCCCTCAATGGGATGGACCGACGCGGGCTGCAAGCCCCTCAGTGGGATGGACCGATGCGGGCTGCAAGCCCCTCAGTGGGATGGACTGATGCGGGCTGCAGCAATGGGCTCAACGCAGCAATGGTTAGGATGGTGCAGGACCAGGCAGAGTTTCATTCTGCTGCACACAGGGGCTCAATAAGTGGGAACTGATTCAACAGCACCTAACACAGATAAGGAATATCCTGGTGAAACCTTTCCATAAAACTTAAAATTCCTATGCAAACTGAATAATCATATTTTATCTTCTACTTGTAAGTTCAAATCATTATTACTAAGATAATACAAATAGAGTAACTTCTCTATAAAACTAATTTAAACCTATCAAGGTTTCTCATGTCCTAGCTAGCAAACCTCTTGTTATTAGGTGCTGTCAAGTTGATTGGGACTCATAGTAACCCATAATATAGCAGAACTGCCCCACCATAGGGTTTCCTTGGCTGTACTCTTTATGGGAGCAGATCTCCGGTTCTCTCATGTAGCCACTGCTTGGTTTTGAACTGCCAACCCTTCAGTTAGCAGCTAAGTGCTTCACTATTGCATCACCAGGGTTCCTGACATAGTACCAAAGGCATCTGACTGCTTAACCAGAAGGCTGGAGGTTCAAATCTACCAGTCACTCCTTGGAAGGAAGACTGGGAAATCTATTTCTGTAGAGATACTGTCTTGGACACCCAAGGAGGGGTTGCTATGAGTCAAAATTGACTCAATGGCAGGTGAGTTTGTTTTTTGGTTTAGTGTTAATAAAAATAATACAACTCATGTTAATCAATTCAAATCCTACACAAATTCTCAAGTTCCTATTATTTTAACAGTTAATCTAATTGCAAAATTCACCAGTTTGGGTATATACAGCTATGTTAGAACAATCATTTTCCTCGTTTAATGCTGAGTAATAAAAACTATGTAGAGGTGATTTCAGAGATTTTGATATGTACTACATTAGATTTAGGCATTAGAAGAAGGGGTGGACATTTATTTGAATAGGTTCTACATACTGTTACAAAAACAGACAAGACTCTTTATAAAGAGAAAATATCAATCTGTTGTAAATCATATGTAAAAGATTAATATTTTATATTGCATTCTTGTAGGTATAAGAAAAAGAATAAAAGCATGTACAGAATGATTATTTATGAATTAGGAAAACAGTGCATAACTCTTTCTAATTTGCTTTCTAATACAGTGTGGGGAAGATATCTGCTTTATGAAAATATATTTTAAAACAAAAATACTATAATGAATCTTTCCTGAACACTACAGTTGTGAGCTTTTCTTTTTTACTGAATTTGTCTAAGAAAATTATAGTTTTTTTAAGCTTGCTAAATTCAAATTTTACTAATCTCAAGATAAGTAAAACCTCTATATCTAAGGATCAATATTTATTTACAAACTCCAGAGTTCTTTTAAGTCAACACAAGTAAACATTCTCCATATTTCAGTGTATAAACACACATATACATATATACACATATATTTGTTCCAGTAGAATACTTATCACATCATCATTGCCTTAACTCTTTATTATAGATACATTTGTTATAATTCACTATAGAAAGGAGTCTTGGTTCACTGAAGTTGATACTCCAGGCTCTGAAGTTCTGCCTAACAATGATGATGACGATGATGATTGCTAACATTTATATAATACTTACCACATGTCGCATTCTGTTCTAAGAGTTTTGTATAATAAATTAATTTGTGCCTCAAAAATTCCAATGAGAGGAGTATTATTATTATTATTTCCATCTCACAAATGAGCAAACTGAGACACAGTGAAGTCAACATCTCTAAGTACGTAGGTGGGGTGTAGTAAATACATGGTATGGCTTTTCGAGCCATAGTCTTTGTAACTCCTACCAGATCACTGGGTGGGACAATGCAATTTAAACTCATGATTGTAAAAGTCATCCACATGGGGTACTTCTGTTGGAGCAGCACAAAGCAATCTTCTGGGAAAGTTTGCTCTTTCTCAGGTGTGTAGAATTCTGAGGGTGGGACTGGTTCATTCTGGCACTCTGCCAGGCTAAAAAAAAGAAAACAACGAGCCCTCCTAGAGGCAGAGGGAATCTGACTGACTGCTGACAGAGATGCACTGCTGAGAGAGAGACACCCAGCTGAGAGAGAGATGCCCAGCTGAGCGAAACGCTGGCAGAGACATGGTGGCACTGGAATCAAAAGACTTGAGACAGAACGGCAGGCTTACCTGGCCCACAGAGGTATTGGCCAGGCCGAGAGGCCAAGGGCCAGAAAGGCAGCAGAAGGGAGACTGTCCTGATTGAAGAACTGTCTCCTGAAGTGTGTCCCTGAATTTGAGTTGTAGCCTGTTGCTTCCCTTTGTTGTTGTTGTTATGTGCCAGCTTCCCTAGTAAACCCTATAATCTGTGAGTTCTGTGTGGTCACTGCAGTGACTTATCTAACCCAGCAGAGAAGTGGTGGGTGCCACGGGAGGGATGGTTGGTGTCAACGTTGGTAAGAGGGCTGGAGGGTGGTGGCATGTCTGGCCTCAAAGGAACAGGCCTTGGGCTGCTGATGGTGATTCTGTCGTCCTCTTTTGGCATTAGAGGAGGTCAGAAGATGCCACCCCCTGCCCTGCCCCTTTGGCAAAGGTGTGTACATTTTTAGAAAATATTTTCCCTTCATTTCCAATATGTGATAGGAGATAGAATATGTGATGTCCCCGCCTTTAAAACCTAATGATATTTCACAGCTTCCTCATGGCCATTATCATATCTGATATCCTCATGTTACGGCTATTAGGTTAAACCACAGAGCGCTGCTGAGAGTTTTAATCTGTAAAAATGGTGATGCCATGTGGGCCAACCTAACATTTCTCTAGGTCTAGTAAAGAGCAAGGCTCAGGTTTGCTCATATTTTGGATCCCCTGAGAGCTCAGAACATTGGAAGTGCTTATGAACTGTCCAAAAGACAAAAAAAAAAAAAAGTGAATTTACTCTGTAAATCTTCACCCAAATCCTAATAAAAAAAAAAGCTTTCAAGTGGTAAAAAAAAAAAAAAAAAAAAAAATTGAACTCCACAAAGACTTTATACATCTGTATTGTGAAGTCCACCATCTGTACCAAGTTGCCTCTCTGAACATGGAACTGTTGCCAACTGTTTTGCCAAAACCTAGTGCCAGCAGGAGAGGTGAGTAGCTCTAGAACTGGAATGTTCTGGAAATATATGCTATTTGAACTCAGGAAGCCTTTTGAGATCATTTATTTGTAAAGGAAACATTCTTGGATTTAGAGGTTGGCAGACAGAGCAAAAAAGCTTTTTAGGTGACTGAACGAAAAAAAAAAAATCAAAATACTTTGTAGCACATGCGCTTCTCTTATAAAAACAAATTGCCTAAAAGCCACCACAGCGGGTTTATGCACAACGAGCCTGCGCAGTGTCGCCATCCGCCATCCGAAGGAGGGAGCCGGGCTGCAGTAGGACAGGAACATTTGCATTTCTGGCGCTTCCTTTGTGTACCCGAATTCTGAAAGCATTTCACAAAGCGATAAACACCATCACCCAGAAGAAACAGTGATAGGATGTCAATTCCAGGCCGGGCTCTGCAGCCAGACCCAGCGGCGGCTCCCACCTAGCTGTGAGCACGAGTGCCCATTAATCCGAGCTGGTTCGCAAAGGGGGAGAAGGGGTTTGTGGGGGTTCCTGCACCGTCACCTGCAGTTTGGCAGAAAGCACTGACTGCTGAATCCTTCCCTGAAGAGCTCGAAGGGACGCTGAATGGCTTTTGCTGCTCTCCTCAACACCAGGCTCTAAGTCTGGGTGATCACGCTGGCCTGTCCCCTCCCATTCCAACACAAGTACCCCCCATTGCAACACAAATCCCCACGGGGAATGAAGCACCCCGAGGACAAGGTGAGGCGGCCTCAGGGCATCGGAAGCCGTAGTGAAGGCGGGGGAGCTAAGGCCCGGGAGCTAAGGCCTGGGAGAAGAGACACACTGCGGGCTCCAGAATGTTTCAGTGGCCTATTCCAAGGCGGCTAGTGCTGACCCAGGAGAAATGCAACACCAAGGTGTATATCCGCTCTGCTCTAAGCCGCCTATCCCAACGGCTTTGAAATTACACTGCGTGCTATGCGTGACTCTGATCCCTGAAGGGAATTGTGGAAACTCCTGAAGAGGCTTGGAGCCCGGCCCCTCCCCGGGCGCAGTCACAAACCGCAGCCACAGCGGAGCCTCCAGGGGTCACACTTGGGCTGCAGATCCCTCCCCGTGCAGAGCCTGAGCTGCTGATTGGGAACAATTTATTCAACTCCTTCTTCATTAAGATTCAAATGCAAGAAGTAAGGTAGAAACCTAGCAGACACAGAAATTGTGCGAGTCGCTGCCCCAGCAGTCAGTAAACATTTATTCACTGAGCCCAGCCCGTGTGCTCTGTCTCTCGCGCGCACAGTTGTTCTTCCAGCCCTTCCTGCTTGCTGTTCTAATGCATAATTAAGAAGGTCAGAATTAATGAAGCGGAGTGGAGTAAAGTTCAAGGAATCCCCAGGCACTATTTATTCTATTAGATCCCAGGCGTGGATGTCAGATTGGCAGCGGACGTGGCATAAGCAATGGGGCTGGCTGCCTCTCAGCTGCTGTCCACCAAGGGACACTCACCTGCAGTGTCCAGTCATTCCGAAGCTCCTTCCCCGCGAAAATTACACGCAACTGGTCAGCCGGAACCCCCTGTCGCTTAGCAACCATCTCCTTGAGCTGGGAGATGCTGGTGTCAGACTCGACCTCCACCGGGAAGCCATGGCTGGAGTTGAACCTCACGAACACTGACCGAGAAAATTGGAAAGGAGAGAAAAAGTGAGCACGGCTCAAAGCTCTCAAGTGGCTACAGCAATAGGTCTAAGCTCGCTCACCCCCACCCACCCCGCAAGGAATGGGATGCATTTCATTCACTTGTAACACAAGACTCAATGTTATAGAATGTTTGGAAATAGGGAATTTCCCCATGGGATTCTCATGCATGGACTAGTCAGCGACCCGCACCCCAAACTTCCATGTTCCCCTTGACACCTGTCTGGGAAGCAGAGGGGCTCAGGCAGAGCAGTGGTGTCACGGGAACTGTAAGATTCCTGAGAGCTTGTCTCTGGGACTCAGCCCTGGCAGTCTGCACACATGGACTCCTCACAGAATGCCCCTCATGATGAAACGAATGGGTGTGGTGCTAGCCGGCTCGGCCTGACAACGGAACAACGCCAAGCCACTTTATGGACTGGAGCGGAGATCCATGGAGGCTCTGCCCAAGAGCCCTAGGCATTGGTGGTCCCAGTCTTTTTTAATTGTGCTTTAGGTGCAGATTTACGGAGCAGAGTTTGTTTAACATTCAACACTTCATGTACATTTGGTTTCATTCCCTAATTGCCATCTCCAACCCTAACCTACTCTCCTCTCCTCCCTTCCCAGTAACCCCCGAACCCCGTGCCCCTCATAGTTATGCATTGCTGTGTGTCCTAAATTTCCTCCATGAGAATGTTGCCCCTTTGGTGTTCTGTAGTCAATTGCTCCAAGGGATGCATCTCCATACAGTATGTGGGTGCATCACCCTAGGTTGTTTGGTCTGTGTGTATGTCTTGTTTACTACTGGGCTGAGAACCAGCCCTTGGGAGTGAGTTTTATTCCAGGCACAAAGTGTGTCCTGGGGCCATAGTATTGGGGGTCCCATCAGACTCCATCCCACCAGTACTTCTGGTCATCATTGTGTTTTGGGATTTTGTTCCATATTCTTCCTCCCACTCTATGCAGCATCTCCAGTTTTGATCCTTTCCCAAGTGGCTGGCACTGATAGCTGGGCACCATCTAGTTGTTCTGGTCTCAAGGTCCATCAGGTCCTAGGGCTGATCCCTCTCAAATGCCCTTGGTTTTTTGCACTCTTCTCCGCTTCCAACAATAGGAGACCATTAGCTGCATCTTAAGATGGTTGCTTGATTTGTTAAAACCAGACCAACCTTACAAGACATCCTAAAGGGAGTCCTTTGATCAGAGAACTAAAAATAGCAAATAACAACA